ACTTTCACTTATGGCCGTCGCTAACCGGTCAGACGTATCTGACCGGCCTTCCCCCTATCCGCCACCTGGGGACGCGCCCGATGGGTAGCTCAACCTGCACGGGCTTGTGGCATGCTATGGATGGAATCTGTAATATGACCTATCATATTTGCCCAAGTTGTGGGAACAGTTTTGTAAACTATATCTTTTAATCTCCACCAAAGATAAAAATTCAATACAGTTAGATCTAGAGACTTTGCTGGCCATGGGACTAGACTACCACTTTCTATCCAGCGGTTGGGAAAAGTTCTATCTAAATGGTCGCGTACATTTCTTGAATAGTGAGCAGGACATCCATCTTGCAGTGAAACATTTTCTAACAGTCCATTAAGTTCACTTGTTAAAAAATGTAAATAATTATCTCCATTAAGACACTCGTTGAAAACAAAGGGACCTATTATTTTGCTTTCAACAATGCCACACCAGACATTCATTTTCCACCTATTTTGACGATCAACTTGTCTCAACCAGTGGAGATTCTCGGTTGACCAATAATGCGCATTACGTAAGTTCACTGATCCAGTATTGCAGAAAGTGGCTTCATCAGTCCACAAAATGCGCGATACAAAGTTATTATTTTATGTGTACATTTGCTTTAACCAGTTACAAAAATTTAATCGTGCATCATAATCCATCTCGGAAAGCGCTTGATGCAAAGAAACGTGATATGCTGCACCGAAAAGCTGCCTATACAGCTCGCGATATCAACGATGCCTTTGCCCAGGAACCACTAACGAACGGACAGTGCAACGATGGTTCAAGAAATTCCGCAGTGGTGAGGAGAGTCTTGAACATGAAGAGGGTCGCGGCCGTCCGTCTGAGATTGACATTGATCAATTGAAAACCCTAATCGAAGCCGATCCTCGCAAAACCACTAGAGACGTTGCGGAAGAACTCGGTGTTGACCAATCAACAGTCAGTCGCCATTTGAAGAAAATGGGAAAGTCAAAAAAGCTTGATAAATGGGTGCCACATGAATTTAACAAAAATCAAAAAAATCGTCGTTTTGAGGTGTCATCTGCTCTTCTTTTGTGCAACGAAACCGACCCGTTCCTCGACCGGATCGTAACGTGTGATGAGAAGTTGATCCTCTGCGATAACCGACGACGTTCCGCGCAGTGGTTGGACCGTGATGAGGCTCCTCAACACTTTGCAAAGCCGAAACTCCACCAAAAGAAGGTTATGGTGACTGTTTGGTGGTCTGCAGCCGGTCTCATCTACCACAGCTTTTTCAAGCATCTCTACCACTTCCTGCGCGAGAAATGCTTTAAAAACCAAGAATCGTCTTTGGCATCGGCTAAAAGCGCCTTTGCTGATTTCGTCGCCTCCACACGCTCAGATTTTTACGCTACAGGCATAAATAAACTTGTCTCTCGTCGGCAAAAATGTGTTGATGCATTAGGTTTTTATTTCGATTAATAAAGTCTATTCTAAGCTGAGTTATGTTCGTTTAAAGTTAAAGGTTAAAAACCGACATCATTTTTGCACCAACCTAATCTCATTAGAGTCTCATAAAATAAATATTTTTTTACCTTGCTTCTTTGAAACAAATATTTGATTACATAGTTTGGATGTTGATGTACGACGTAGTTAATAGTTGTTTTGGCAGGACAAAAATATGTTTTTTGGTACTCTAACAAACGTTTGCTATAATGGCGACTCTCTACCAATAAATCTTTAATGAAATATGATGATTAGCGAACAATTGAAATGTAATTAATAGTTTTGGTTGTTGCAAGTTGATACCATATGGAGCTCATTTATTTAACGTAAATTATAAATACAATTTCATTAGCTAATGATTAATCCTAAATTCTGTTTAATACATTATCTATTGAGAATAAATAACAGGAAAGCTTTCAATTTTTCTATATTTTCTGTAAATTAGTCATTCATAAGTCTAAATAATTTAAGTTCAAAATAGTATGTTTTGTTGTATCCTGATATCACAGCCTCTCTTTTCCAGTATATTCCCCCTACAGACAATATGACACTAACCAAATACTTAACCATAATTAAAAATATCGACATTGGAGATTTCCGTTTAAAATTTCGGTTTATACCGTCATCTATACTAATGGTTCTACCGACTGTCTGCACGCACACCGAAAGTCTTTTGCTTTCTTTAAAGAAGACTGACCACTAAAACGCCAAGTGGGGATGTAATTGCCGAAAATAGACTCAGGAAGAACATGGTGATCATCATTGCAAGTTCGATGCGGTTTGGTGGTACTGACCTGCAAAAAATTGAATTTGAATTAATCATTGGTAAGAGATTGAGATTCTTCAATTACAGTTTATTTAACCAGATAAATTATATGTATACTACATAGCACTTATACAGTAATCCTAAAGAAATAGACAAGCTATCTGTACATAGGCTGGTATTCTTGAGCCGAGTTCTCATGAGTCCGGAACGCGTTCGGAATGCGAAAAACTTTCCGACCTAAGATCAGAAGTTTGCCGCATGCTTTAGCATGCGCAGCGCAACCCATCCGCAGAAGTTCGCAAATTTTAATATTTTCCGCATGGCGTGCGGAAGAATGTAAAAATCTAGGTTATCTCCAGTGATGCTCCAGTGAAAGGTTATGTTCAGCGGCGTCTATTCCACCTTCTTTCATTTTAATGTCTTTGTTTTTTTCTTTTTAGATGCGTTTGAAAATACTGATAAGAAAAAAGAGTTGTATCGTGTCTCGCTTCTCGAAAGATATGCCAACACTGTCGGTGGAATGCGGAAAAATAATCGGGATGCTTGTAAACTGCGTGAATTTTTCCGCGTGTAGTAATGGTAGTAGTAGGCTGCGCGCGCACTTTCCGCACTCCGTATCCGCAAAGCATTCCGGACCCATGAGAACCAAGCTTTAGAAACTGGCAAACTAACATACATTGTCTAGAATAATTTATATTATAAGTAATATGATATTTATAGATCAAACCATCTAATATTTTCTCTGTTTAATTCAGAACTATGACTTTCCGTCTTTTTAATGCTTTCGTTTTATGTTTCAGTACTTTTAGTTTATTAGCGAGACTATTGAATATTGTAACAGCTACTATTAAGCCAATTTTGTTACTTATGACTGTCTTCGTCTTAAATAATTGTATTATTTTATGTCTGATCTTGGATGCACTGCACGTTCAGGTCGTTGTAATGATATGTAAGGCATTCATGTGCAAACAATTTCAGCATTTAACGGATAATTATTTACCAAAAAATAAAGTTTGTTAATTATTTTTAAGATTGTGGTTTATGTTTTTGTATCATAATAGGTCTTTTAGGTCTTGCCCCAAATTAGTATACCATAAACCATTATAAAGCAAAATACGTGATATATCACTAACATATATCAATTAACAAAGTTTTCATATCCATTATTTTTTTAATTTCTGCAAAATATTAAGTATTTTGTTATTTGGATAATATGATCCAGATGTCTGACCCTTCTCATATTACAGGAGTCGGCACTCGAAGTGTTACTATTTAAAAATGCTATAATTTTGTCATTTTAATTTTAGTGTAATAGAAAACTTATTAAAACACATTAAAATGTAAATACATTCAAAATTTTAAAAAGTTATTGTTCGATGTAGCTACCTTTAGCGCGTATAACAGCATCGAGTGTGTCCGGGAAGGCTTCGCAAGCTGCACGAATGTGGTCTTGAGACGAAGAGCAATCTTTAAGAAGTCGGCCGTCCCATATTTTTTTGCACATACTTTGGCCTCCAGAATGAACCATATGGAAAAATCCATTGGGTTTAAGTCGGGGGAATACGGTGGCCGTTGTTGTGCAGAAATTAATCTGGAAACCTTTTCTTGTAAACAACGTTGGGTTTCACGGGCTTTGTGGGATGGTGCCGAGTCTTGTTGAAACGTCCAATGGTTTCGACCGAATTGTCAACTTGCCCAAGAAAGCAAAGCGTCGTTTATAATATTTCCACGGTAGATTTGTTGATTTATCTTTACGCCCTGTTCAATAAAAACGATTTGTGAGCCTTCTGTGGCAGTTAGCGCGGCCCAAACCATCACTGATGCAGGCCCTTGCTGTCGCAGAGCAATTCGTTGCCCTAAATTGTCCCTTTATTTGTGCTCTAACCAAATACGATTGTTTTGCTTGTTGACATATTGCTGAACCGTAAAAAAATTCTCATCAGAAAAGACCAAATTTTGAATCTCGCCATTAACGTGCAAGTGTTTTAACACCTTTGCTCTTGCGAGGCGAACTGCTTTTTGTGCAGGTATTAAATCTTGAAATTTTTGTATTTTGTGGGGCTTCAATCGTAGTTAATTTTTTAGTATTCGCCCCATGCTTCGAGCAGACATATTGAAACTTTTCAACAATTTAACTGCGCTTTGTAGCGGATTACGCTGGATTTTAGCCTTCACCTTTCGTACCATTTCTCGCGATGGTGCTGTTTTTCGATGTCCACTCACATGGCGTTATTTGATGCTACCAGTACCATTGTAAAGTGTAATAGTCCGATACGCAAACATTTTGTTCACATGCAAATGTCGTAGTTTATTAACAATGGCTCGTTGAGATTTCCCAGCAAAATTCAAAGCAATAACACTGTTGCGTTTAAGTTCTATTTCGATAACTTTTTAAACTGCTCTCAGTTTAAAAAAGCATACCGTTAAATTCAGTAAAAATAAGGATTTTAAAAGGCACACAGCCAACTATGTTTACCATTTAAAAAAACATAAGTTTATTTTTTATCTCGTAATTCAAGTTAACTATGATAACGAGTGCTAGTTTATTGAATTCAACGCAAAAAGTTCTGCCAAAGGCAACTTTAACTTTTTTTCTAAGTTAAACAGTTTACGAAATATGTGATAATTAAAAAAGTGTTGATTTCTTGTCTCAGGATGTTTCTCAGGATATTTCAGGAACCTGGTCGGGTACCTAAATTTTGAAAATGGTAATGAATGGGCAATCGAATTCTGCCCAATTTTTTCAATTGAACGGATTCTCTATCTTTAAAAATGTAGAAGTTACCCATACAAAGATTCAGAAAATGGCCACCCTGTATACTTTTTTACTAGTATTTAAAGTTCATTTTTTAAAAGCCAGTCAATCAGCCATCCTCTCTACCATATTATTGAAAATAATCCCTTGCAGCCGACCACGTATCGTCACTGGAAATGACCACCGTGTCGCCCGCATATCATAGGATAATATCTTTTTGCATATCCAACAAAAGATCATTTACATAAAAAATAGAGGTCCAAGTATAGTTCCTTGAGAAACTCCTGTGCATACATCTTTTTCAGAACTGATTTGATCTTCAGTTCAAACTCTTTGCTTCCTATTGCATAGATAGGTCTCTATTAGTTTAACTGTTTTTGCCCTGATGCCATCTCTTTCAAATTTCTCTAGCAATAGCCCATGATCACCTGCAACGAATGAAAAGTGACTATGCGCCCAGTGAGCATTTTATTCCTATAAAGGAAATGTTATAAAGCCGGCGTCGTTGTGAAGTCACGATTTCCTTATTTTGTGTCAAATTTCAAACAAAATATTGAATGACGTCATGGCGAGTGCCTAATTATACGATAGAAACGAATGATGAGTACTTCTACACATTGTAGCCTTTAAATTGGCACCCAAGGCATTGTTGCCTACATCCAAGTAATCGGCGACGAGGTTTAGGAATTGTGTTATATGTAATTCCTTAACTGCAACTATGTTAACGTAAGACACAGATAGGAAACGCTGTGTGCAACAAGTTAGGAACTGCTTTCTTTCAATCACAATCTTGATTTGCGTATTTCGAAAAAAAGGAATTACTTCTAAAATATTTCGGAGATGCCGCAAAGGAAACTGTGTGACATAACAAGGATCGTTTGGAACTTGATCAACGAAATTACTTGACATGTACGCAACTAATAGTATTTTTCTACCTTCCATTGCAATAGATGCTTTGGACAAACAATGCATACATTTTTTATGCACTTTTAACCCAGTTTTGGGAGACCACGCTAAACCTTAACCACTTCTCGAGTGTTGAAACCAGGATGACTAAAGGCATAAAAGCGCTATGCTAAAATCAGTCATATACATTGAAACTTTAAGAAAGAACAAACAACAAAAAAGATTGTTTTGATTAACATAACCTCAAACCAACTCGCGCATGTTAGCTGAAACACTGGTCGCGACAAATGTGACTGCCACCTCCCGGTGTTCAATTTTAACGCAATGTGGGAATTACGTGGTGCAAATAAGAATTTGTGTTTCACAGTTCCCATGTTGCGTTATAATACACATAAGTTATGATTATAGGGAATCTTGCGTGCAGCGGTCATGTTTCAAATTATTTATTATTTTTAGTACTTCATACTCGAAACATGAAATCTGAATTTACGAAAAATTAAATGAAAATTTTCCTATTTCACACTAGATTCATATAAACTCTGGCTCACTAAAACATGGTGCCATGTTTAATTTGATATTTTGTATATTTGTTTTTTTACATTTATTTTCTTCAAAAATATTATTCATGTCCAATATATTTTCGAAGCCTTTTAGGATACTTGAGTACAAAGAAAAACTATACGGAAAAGCTTTCGCCCCAATTGAAATCGAGTTTAGTCAATATGCAAACAAGTACCTATTAATTATGAGATATACTCGCAAATATGCACAAGTTTTGCACACAATTGCGCAAGTATTCCATATTTGAGTGAAAAAATTGCTTACTGGACGTGGTTTGCTCCCATCCAATTTTTAATATATTATGTACGCAATCCTATTTAGTGTATCAGCAGTAGTTATCTTCTTCGTCACGTGCCATCTCAGCGGCGGAGGTTGACAATCATCATAGCGATTCTGCCTTTTGTTGAAGTTCGGTTGATGTGCATCCGTAGCATTCTCGCAAGTTTCGTAACCATGATATTCTTCTTCTTCCTAAACTTTCTTTGCCTCGGATTTTACACTGCATAATCAATTGCAGCATCTTATATCTCTCCCGCCGTATAACGTGTCCCAGGTAGCTCCTTGCTCATTCTCCTCATGACTTCGCTGTTTGATATGTGTTCCGTCCATGGTATTTTTAATATGGGAACACATCTGAAAGGATTCCAGCTTCTTTACAGTTGCTGCGCTCGGGGCCCAGACCTCCATTCTATCAAGCAAGTCAAAAAGACCTAGTACCTGGCTATTCTGATTCTTAAATCTGGCTTTAAGGTTTGTTCGTGTATTTTCTATGCAAATTTTTATTTCTTTAGTGTCGTCGTTGGTAGAGCTGATAGTTGTCCCTAGATATCTGTAGTTGTCTACCTGCTCAAGAGTCCTGTTTTTAATTGTTAGATTATCTCTATTGTTCTGATTTTTTTATATATTCATCAATTTCGTTTTTTTGACGTTCATTTTTGGCCCATATTCCTAACCGCATTTAACTATTTTGTTCATTAGTTTCTGTAGGTCCTCTAGACTGTCTGTTAATATAACCGTATCGTCCGCGTATCTGATGTTGTAATACCATCTATTTTTTCCTCAATGTCTTTTTTGTAGTATTATCAGTCTTTCCGAGATTGAGACGAAACTCTCTACTGCTTTGCTGGTTTCTTTATCTGCAATGATTGCCACGCCATGTCTATTGGGGTTACAATTGTTTCCAGAATAGTTTATTACGTTGTTGTCTCTCGAACAGTGTCGCGGGTTATGCCACCTTGTTTCGCTTACTCCCAATATGTTCAGACATATATTATATAGTTATATTCAGATACAGCGGTTCTTGTGAAGAAATGATAATAGTATCCTACGATACTACCACTAAAAGTTTCTGTAGATGGCGACGTCAATTTTGGCCCTGTTACCTAACTCAATTTTTAAGCGAAAGCAAGCAATAATACGACCAATAAGTTATAATAAATGCGAAAGCCATCATCTCCATTTAAAAATAAAAAGATTAAGTTTAGCATGTGACAACGACGGCAAACACAACAGAAGGAGTCATTCTACCGACTTTTCTACTTAGCATACGTAAAGAATTCTGATTCGCCATCAGTAATAATAAATTTAGATGTAGATTTAGATTTAGGGCAAATTTGAACTTTGGCAATACTACTAACATCACACGGACAGGTTCTAACTTCTAACTATTCGATTTTGAATTTTTATTTTCCGTTCTCCGCTCAGTTAGCCAATAGTGAAATGGACGTGGTAAGAATGCGTTTTTCTGATAGTCGAAGACATTGAACCAGCCGCGGAATATTTTCCTTCTGAAACCTAAAATTGATAAGGCAATCTCTGGACTCAATAACTTCTAAATTGAAAATACCTTTTCGGTTTGCAACAACAGGTGGCTCAAAAATTATTAAATTATCTCTTAATAATCTTATTAAATCGTGATCCACATCTCCCTGGTCATTCCGACGCAGAAAGGCAGCTTCAATGTTTTGAGGTTGAGGTTTATTTTATTAAGAGTGCGACAAACGCGGTATCAAAAGCTAAAAAACGCCCTTAACGTTATTTGCCTGAACACCTTATTTTTTTAACACTACACATGATCAGAATAATGTTTAGCGTTTAAGGCCAACGTAATTTTAAGGGGTCTAAAAACTCTCTATTGGAATAAATCAACTACGCTAATTTTTGTCTCGAAAGTTATTGGACAAACCACGAGCGCCAAAGACCAATTCCGTCGATTTTATACAAATTGGCTATCAATTATTTAGTATACGCACGCGGATGGTCAAAAATTTAAATGTCTCCTTATATTCGCGCCGTTAACAACAATTTGCTCATACTTTGCGTAAAGTTGAAGCGCAAAAATGAGTGAAAGGAATAGCGCTTCTTTACTATCAACGATTGCTTATGATCGAATGTGAACGGTTTTGATTTCCTTGGCACAAAAACGGTTTGGATTTATTATCTTTTCTCATCAACGAATAAGGAGCGCCCTCAGGACTACAAGGAAAAAACATGAATTTCCATTCGTCTATCTGACGAATGCTACTACTGTTATCTGTCTCCAACAGTCATAAGTTTGAGTAATGTAGCACTTTTACAATGAAAGACGATCCTGTTAGCATAAGCTGTAAATCCAGTAACTCTTAATATGAAATTTTTCAGCCTGTATTTTAGTAACTATATAGGCTGCAGGTAATTATTCAATCATATGCATACAATCAGGTTTATTTGCAGTTTATGGCATGAAATTACATTATTTGGAGCTAGTCAGATTATTGATAATAGATTACCATTAATTTTCGAAATACAAAGTATGATTCATCATAATGACCGCTGCTTAAAGCTTTTATTATAAACCGACACTACTTTCTGTAAATGCACTTCAATACGTGATTGTGAGTTTTAATATCGAGTTTATAAATATTCAAATAATCTAACTCTAACTGTTTTGGTACTGATATTATCATCATGTCTATACAGTTATTTCTACTCCATTATTATCTGATTATCAGAAACACCTACTCACCAATAATAAATATGAGACCAACATTAATGTTCTAGAAGTTATAGTAGGTATGCATTTTGTTAATTTAGGAATAATTATTTTTTTACCTTAAAATTTTCATCATAAATAAATTAATGAAAAATCCTGAGGACATGGCTTGTGCGCCTGTTAGTAGAGCATACTCCCAGTCTTTGTTTACAATGACGGTTAGATTGTGCCTTGGTTTCGCATTAGACAAACATATTAATGATCCAGACAGGCCATCTTTGGTTATGGTAAACAGGTAGAGAAGGGGTACTGATAAATCCTGAAATAAATAATATAGTTTTAATACATATTACTGAATTAAATATTAATGAAATTGAATATATAATTGATGATTTCAACAACAAAGTAGACAATATAGAACAAATAGCAAATAAGATGAATGATCTTTTCTATGAAATTGGGGCCAAATTAAGTGATAAAATTAAAGTTACAATGCGTACCAATACTCCAAAGATTCCATTTAATGATAAGAAGATATATTTATAAAACAAACAAATATTAATGAGTGTAGTAATAATAGAGTGTTTTATACTACTTTCAGTAGTGCTCGTAGGTAAAAATATTTAGATAAATTCGAAAGTCTCATTTGTAAACGTTTGAGTGCAGATTGGTTTAGTACGGTGACAAAATCAAGCTGTCAGCGTGCGTGGCGAAAGTTATTACTTTCCACACGGGACTAAGAAAATTTGTAATGAGTAAACATAACATAACTATACAGGGTGTGACGGAATATGTGGGCATGCTCTCGGATTTGTATAGGGGACGTTAAAAAACATAACAAGCTTCTATTTAAAAAAAATCAGAGGGCCCCACTACAGAGCGAATCGAATTTTTTAATAACTTTAGAATACTTCATACAATTTAATTATTTTCTCATACAAAGAACAGTACATCATTCCTCTTAAAAAGGACCCAGGAAAACATTTTTAGCATTTCGGTTTGCCAGGGATGGAGTAGGTGAAGCAAACTAATAGTAATTTTTTCCCTTACAATGAAGGCACGAAAATAATGTATATAGCTTTAACTTTAAACTGTAAGCCACTCTTGATTTATATCAACAAAGAGGACAGTTCCGATCTTATGCACTCCCTAGCTTGAAGAATTGTAGATCGTTGCGACCTCCGCAATGCTTTCATATTGGTTCGTATTTGGCCACAATGAAAGTTAATGCTTATTAATAAGTTGTCTCTAGTGTCGACCGGATTGGCATACACTAGAGTTTTTAAATATCCTCCAAACAAAATCTAAAGGGTTGAAAGGAGGCCAAGGCACGGGTCCTCCTCTTCCTCTCCAACGTTGTCGGAATTGCGTGTTTAAGTGTTCTCGAACTGCCAGTCTAAAATGGGGTGGTGCCGCATCATGCATGGGCATCGTCTGTCGTATTGCTAAAGAAAAGTCTTTTAAAAATTCTGGCAAGTTGTTTTAGAGAAATTCCAAATAAAGTGACCTGGTCAACCTGTTAGGCAATACGCATGGTCCTATTAAATGTTATACGATGGGTCCGGCCCATACATTAATAGGTTGGAATTGGTGTTGATGGGAAGTCACAATAAAAGCATGCGAATTTTCTTCTGCACATAAATGCAAGTTATCAGATTTTGTGACTCCCTGCTTAGCAAATAAAGCTTCGTCCGTAAACATAACTGAACCGACAAAGTTTGCATTGTTTCTGTGCACACGTAAGTCTAGTTTGAAAATTCCTTCCTTCGTAGAAGGTCTTCAGGTCGAAGCGCATGAGCCTTTTGTAGGTGATAAGGATGCAATTGCTCTTCCTTAACGACCCTAAAAACTGTAGATTTTGGACAATGAAACCGGGCACCTAATTTCCGGACACTTATGGAAAGATCTGGTTCTACCGTATTTAAAAGATCTTCTTCAGCAACCGCATTGCGATTCACTTAGTTTCCACAATCGCGTTTGGCTTTGGCGAACAAGCCTACAATTATTTATATCGAAAGGTAGAAATTATATATAACGGAAGGTATTATTTCACCTACACAAAAAGTACAGGGTTATTGATTGAACTTTGGAAACCCCGTTTTTGCATCTAATTTGAAATTTTGAGCAAAATGTTAAATGCAAAAGTTGTAGATATTAACGTCTACTTTTTTTTAAGATAGTAACAATTGATACAGGGTGTCTCAAATTCAAGAAAGAGACCAAACGTTTTTTAGATGAAATGCCGTACTTTTTATTACATACTCGAACTATTCGCACAATTCTAGGCCTACTAGATATAAATGTTCTATAATGATTTTCAACTGTTTCTGAGTTAATAACCAATATTGATTGAACTTTGGCCACCCTATTTTTGAATCTAATTTAAAATTTAGAGAAAAATGTTAGATGCAAAAGTTATAGATTTTAACGTCTAGTTTATTTTAAGAGAATGTCAAATGATACAGAGTGTCTCAAATTCTAGTGGCAAATCGAACTTACCTTTTTTAAATGGAATGCCGTACTTTTTCGCCTTTTTTATTTTAAAATTCTAGGCCCATTCGATATAAACGTTCCATAATGATTCTCAACTGTTTTTGAGTTAATAAACAAATTGATTGAATTTTGGCCAGCCCGTTTTAACACCTAATTTGAAATTTAGAGCAAAATATTAAATACAACACTTTTAGATACTAACGTCTAGTTTATGTTAAGATAATACCAATTTATACAGGGTGTCCATTTTTAAACCAACTCGAACCATCCAACAGACTTTGAGATCGGCCAAGGACAAACGGGATCCTTTATCAGTACCAGGAGTCTACAAAGTTCCGTGCAGCTGTGGAAGAGCATACATCGGCACCACAAAACGAAGCATAAACACTAGGATCACGGAGCACAAACGAAGTTGCAGATTGGGGCAAACAGAAAAATCAGCAGTAGGGGAGCACGCACTGCTAGACGGCCACCAAATACGCTTCGACGAAGTGGACATTCTGCACCAATCTGAAAGATACTACCCGAGACTCACCAGAGAGGCCATCGAAATATTTAAACACCAGAACAATTTTAATAGAAAATAAGAAATTACGGCACTCAATCCAGATTGGAAGCGCATTTTGGGCCAAACAGCATGTGCGCCGAAGCGTTGGAACCCCCACCCATCCCCCACACATGAGCACACACGGCTGGGCCTGAATAAATACGACGGGGAGTCCAGCAGTTGAATCAGTCTTAGTCGGAAAACACGGGAGATCACTTCGCCCACTGCCTCATCGCCTTTGAAAATGTCCAGCGCAGTTGTAGACGAAACGTCAGGAAGAAATTCCGATAGACCACGGCTTCAAAGCCCGGAAAACATTCCTAAATGTAATTGTGCGAATAGTTCGAATGTGCGGCATTGCGTTTAAAAAAAGATAAGTTTGGTTGGCCAGTTGAATTTGAGACACCCTGTATCAATTGGTGTTATCGCGAAGTAAACCAGTCGTTAATTTTTACAACTTTTGTATTTAACATTTTTCTATAAATTTCAAATTAAATGCAAAAACGGGATGGCCAAAGTTCAATCAATAACCCTGTACAGGGTGGGCCACTAAGAGAGGTGGTCGGACGTATCTCACAAACTATTAGTCGTATCGATTTCAAGTAAAAAAATATATAAGTAAAGTGGCTCAGGGAAATGGCTGGAAATTGTTTTCAAGTTTGCAAAATGGCCGGTAGAGGGTGAAATTGCAATAGCAAAATTTAAAAACGTATTTTTAGCGGTTTCAGATAGGCTAAGGTAGGTTGGAAGTACCTTCATTCTATTCTTGACAAACTTTCAGTTATTTCTTGGGGAAGTATTATTGTTCTAGCTAGTCAAATAAAGTGGTGGGGTAAAATCAAATAACGGTTCAAAAAGTTGTTAATAGCTCCGTATTGGCTTAACCAAATTCAACGCTTAAATTGCAATTGAATAGCTCTTGATTTACATTAACACCCACTATGAAATATTGGCCGATATCATTGCCACTTTGGCCGCCAGAGGGCGCGATATAAAAAGTAGTCAAACTTTTTCGATTTTCTTAAATTTTTTAAATGAAACGGTATATAATTTTTTAGCTGCTTAGAAGGAGTATAAAAAATGAAGCAAAATAGTGAAAACCACACACCGATATATTTGTTATATAACCGAAGATATAAGCAATTTGACAATAACAATGATATTGTTGGGTTGTTGACAAAACAATCGGTTCTGACAAAAACATCAGTTTCTTACAAATATACTTTGGACAAAAGAAGCTACTTTTAACAGCAATGGGGGAGTTAATTTGCATAATATGCATTATTGGTCCAGGACAAATCCTCACTGGATGCAGGAAGATGAGCATCAAGGGCGATTTAGTGTCAAGGTCTGGTGCGGAATAATTGGGGGCCGAATTATCGGTCCAAAGCCCAACGGAAATATTTATTTACACTTTTTACAAAACCAACTACCATTACTGTTGGAACACATACCGGTGCGAAAGCGAGTAAACATGTTTCTTCAACAAGATGGGTGTCCGGTTCATTTCTCGGTAAATGTCCGTCAATTTTTAGACAACGCTTATCGTGATAGATAGATAGGACGAGGCAGTTTATTCCCGTGACCAGCTAGGCCACCCGATCTTACGTGTATGGACTTTTACTTGTGGGGGATAGTAAAAGAGATTGTTTTCCAAACTACACCAACTTCCAAACAGGATCTAATAAACAAAATTAAGGACGCAGTTCATCACATTCCTGTTGCAGAAGTAGAGAGTGCTGTTTTATCTACAAGAGACAGGCTTGAGCAATCCATTCGAAATGACCGAAAACATTTTGAGCTTCTAAGCAGGCTTGAATCCCAAGAGTGCATTTCATTCAAATAATACTCATAATGGGTTAAATAAAACAATCGGTCCTTCTCAGAACCGATTGTTTGTTGTTTTGTCAACAACCCAACAATATCATTGTTATTGTCAAATTGGTTCTATCTTCGGTTATAACAAATATATCGGTGTGTGGTTTTCACTATTTTGCTTGATTTTTTATACTTTTTCTAAGCAGCTAAAAAATTACATGTCATTCCATTTAAAAAATTTAAGAAAATTGAAAAAGGTTGACGACCTTTTGTGCGAATCTGGCGGCCAAAGTGGCAATCACATCGGCCTATATTTTATAGTAGGTGTTAATATAAATCAGGAGCTATTCAATTGCAATTTAAGCGCTGAATTTGGTTAAACCAATACGGAGCTATTAACAACTTTTTGAACCGTTATTTGACTTTCCACCACCACTTTATTTGACTAGCCAGAACAATAATACTCCCACAAGAAATAACTGAAAGTTTGTCAAGAATATAATTAAGGTATCTGCAACCTACCTTAGCCTGTCCTAAACTGCTAAAAATCCGTATTCAAAATTTACTATTGCAATTTCGCCCCCTTGCGGCCATTTTGCAAACTTGCAAGTTATTTTCAGCCATTTCCCTGAGCCACTTTACTTATATATTTTTTTACTTGAAATCGATACGACTAATAGTTTGTGAGATATGGCCGACCATCTCTCTTAGTGGCCCACCCTGTACAATAATGCAAGTAGGTACACAAATTATTTAATTTTTTTTATGTAGAATCCGTATTTAATAAAAACATTTTTTCCTCGAAAACGGTACTTTTTATCGATATGAATCAAGAATGTCTTTTTTAGTTTAAGTTTAAAGCTACCTAAATACATTATTTTCGTGTCTTTGTTGTAAAGGGTAAAAAAAACTATTATTGTGCTCCAGCTAGTCCATCCCTGGCAAACCCATAAGCGAAAAAAAATATCATGGTTCTTTCTTAAGAGCAAGAGAAAGAAAAATAATTAATTTAATTGCAAAAAGTATTCTAAAAGTCATTAAAAAAATTGATTCTCAGGTGGCTCTTTTAGAGGCTGTATCTCCGTAGGTGGGCCATCTGAAATTTTTTTTTCATAGAAATTCGTTGTGCTTTTTTAACATCCCCTATAAAAATCCGAGAGCATGGCCACATATTCCGGGACACCCTGTATAAAGTTATTTCATTATTTAATATAAAATTTTAAGCAATTTATTTTGCTTACTTTACACATCTCTCTTGAAACCAATACTTACAATGTCCAGATAGTTGAATAATCCTCTACCGAATAATCCGGCAAGGGCCGGTACTAAGTAGGAGCAAATCGTAACAAAATATTTATCTAAAATAGTAAATATTAAAATCTGCATTTGTTTCTGGAAACAGTGAGTTGCTCACCTCCCCAAATATTGTCGGTGCCATTGTACTGTGATACCACTAGATTTATTATTGATGTCGTGGGTATGAGCATTCCAAATAGAGGTAGTATTATTAAAGGCCATATTATTTTGAGTACATCAATAATGTCTTTATGATTTCTGAGGCTTTCTTTTGCCTCGTCTTTAGTACCTTCGGTGTAATATCTGAAAGTTTACATCAATAATTAAAAATATTAAAACTCCATGCGGCTGCAATAAAATCTGTCATACCTAAAAAACTTTGTTTTCGTTGCAAATAAGAAAATAATTGTTGTGAAGATCATCAGAGCGCTTCCAGTACCAAAATAGAGAAACGCTGCGCCACTAGTCGATGGCGAAATGATGATGGTAAGAAGACGCAACAGTGACGAAAAAACTCCCGCCACGCCTTCGCCCACCAAATGCGCTTTCATGTAAATTGGAGGTAATTTAGAAATTAGACCCATGGCACCTGATCCTCCTAGTGACATCGCACCTAGAATTAACACATGCATTAAACAAAACGGAAGCAATTGTAGGCTTATCTCACTTGGGTTTAAATCACTTTGGAAATTAACATTCACACTGGTTCAACTTACATGACATAATCAGCTGATTGAGTAGAGTGAAAATAAAAAATCCTAGTTGCCCTTAAACAAAAAGAAATAGTAAGTAATTTAATTGAACTTCTAAATCCTTCTAAACCTTCTTATGAAATTTATTATTAACAGTTTTATTAATTACAACATTTGAAATGTTCAAAACTTTACTCAAAATTAAGTAACAATGAATATTAGTAAACTAACGAAACAAAAGGCTATCGACGAATCTAATAAACCTCCGGAAATCATTCAATCTACGGTAGCACCAATTCCTAATAATCTGCAGCATTTCTCAATATTAATCTATTAATGCCGCCCGATTATTTGGGTCAGTTAATTAAGACGAATAGGAAATGCTGGAAGTGAGTGAGCTCAGTTATTGATGTCTCTTTAGTATATAACTTATTTACAACTTTATGTATTATTTAATAAAATATGTTTAGAGTATGTATAAACATTCTACACTTGATTAATAAGGATGCCTTTGTGGAAAACAAAAATATGAAACTTTAATTTAAAGGGAGTTAAATGCTCACAAATAAGTTTGAGTCTTCAGTTTCTTTGTTCGGATTTGCAGGGTGGTTTTTTAGTGCGGCAGAGTCCATTATTTCCGTTGCTGTTGAACTTCGAGAAATAGTTTCACATAAAAGTTGTTCACGCCCAACGTGCGCACAATTTAAAAATATTTTATATGATCCAGAGGGTCTCAGAAAAGCGAGGCATGATCAAAGTGTATTTTTTTAAATAGAACTACGCATGTTTCATTAGCTCATGGAATGTGGCTCCAAACGCTGCATATGCACCATAAATTGTTTTTTTCTTACTTGCGACGTTGGCAGATTATCGCCATTTTAGTAAAATTTTGCTTAAAAACATGGCATCTAAAAATTTATTGTAGAAGGAAAAAAAATACTTCTTTCCAATCACCACAAATCCGTTAAGAATTCTATTGAACCAAAATATCAATACATTGTACAGGGTTTTAACAATGTGGACTTCAATCCAAAACTTTTTAACGAAATATAACTTTTGTTTCTCAAATGGAAGTACCTGTATATTAATATGTCATTAGACAGCTTACATATTTACATTTACACGTTAAGCTGTGAAATCAACCGTTTTCAAATTATAATTTATTTTATTTAAAAATTTCAAAAAGTTGCTACATTTTGTAACGTGGCTATGGAAGTCAATAAATAAGTGTCCAAATTTTATGATTATTGACATATCAATCTTGACAAATCAATGTACATTTAGTATATCGCTTCGCCGGAAGAACAATGACGCAACTGCAAATTTCGACTTTTTGAGTTAATTATGGCACTATTACAAAAAAATGTTCATTCTGCAGTTGAACAACGACGTAATGTTAGAACGTCTATTTTTCGCTTGTTAACAATGCCTCCAGATGAACAGTGACCTAACGGTAGTAGCGTCTGAGGTAGCAAATCTGGTGCCTGAATTTTGGTTCAACCAGGACGTAAGTGCTGTTCTAGTATATTTTGATAGTACATATATACCGATTCATCTTCTGCATGTATTAATACGCAGTGGAAACGTTACCAATAAACTTTATTACTCACAAATTCATCATACGTGGGCATACGCAGAATGAGGGCGACACCATCCAAAGTATTATCGAGAAATCTACGAAGATAGCCAAAACATCGCGGCCCATATACGTGCCTGACCAACTAGTGACCATAATAAGGAATTGAAAAAAACTGGAAATCCTTTTGTAGTGAAAGAAATGAGTTATGACGACTATAGATTTAAAATCGATGTGTAATGAAATTGGTTTCAATGCCCAGAAAAATCTAGAGGGTGGTCAAATTAAGATGTCAGATATAAAAGTCGTAAAATTTATGAAATAAAGTGTATACTTCTACAAATCTAGCTACAAACAGACTTGGGTACAAGTTAGGAGTCGAACCATTGGAACTAGACGCTTTTCTGGAGTGAAGAGTCTAAAAAGCATCATCAGAAAACCCGCCTACATTTGAAAAATCCCACTAAATGAAAATAAGAAAAATGATTTACAAACTTTGTTAACAACTAACATTATTCCAAAATACTATAAACCGTTTTTAAGTAGCTTATTTCAAATTTTTGCTTTTGTAATGTTATTAATAAATATTTCTTATTCAACTTAGTTTTGCTGTTGTCATTTGATAAAGTTGACTGTGACTAAAATAGAGTATTCATCTAACAATTTCAATAATTAATCTTGTTGTCTATTATTACTGCCGTTCTTCCGGAGAAGCGATATGACGACTAGTTAGTTTAAAAGTCATCCATATTATTAAAAAGCTTTTAAACAAATATGATTTTTTCTAAATTGAAGAATTAGTGGATTTGTTGTTTATATTGGATGCTACTGATAAAAATTGTACGCTCGCTACGCGACTTCATTATCAACATTTTCCTGAAAGAAGACAGCCGAATAAAAAGACGTTTAAAAAATTTATCGAACGATTCATACGAACAGGTAATATTGAATATGAGAAAATAGACAGACTAAAAACGGCTTCAACACAAGAAAATTAATTGGCAGTTTTATTAAAAGTAACTGAAAACCCTCTTACTTTCCAGAGAATGATCGCTAATGCAACAGATATCGGCCGATCTACTATACAAAAAATATTAGTAAAAAATAAAATTCATCCATATCACAAGCAGTTTAGGCAGGAACTTAACAGCCAGGACTATGTCACTGTAACTAGAGTTTGATTTTGTGAATAGACAAGGCGCAATATTGGGGAAGACAGATATTTTTTTAATTATGTATTATTTACTGATGAAGCAACTTTTCATAAAAATGGAATGGTTGATAGATATCATTTCCATTATTATGCAAATACCATGCCTTATTTTATAAGATCAAATAGTCAAGCCCGTTGGTTATTAAATACTTGGGGTGGCATTATCGGAAATTATGGGCCTTACTTTTTTTCATGGATAACGAGTAACTGGAAGAATTTATTTAATTCTTTTTACAAAATGAACTGCTACGTTTAATTGATCATTTACCTAATTATATCAAGGAAAGAATGTGGTATTTACATGATGAAGCTCCAGTTCACCATACAGCTCAAATTCATGAGTACCTAAACAATTAATTTCCTGAGAGGTGGATAGGCAGAGGTGGGCCTGTTCAGTGGCCACCTCGTTCACCCGATTTGACAAAAATTGATTTAATTTGTGGGGTTACGCCAAAAACGAAGTTTATAAAATAACTCCAACTACAAAAATGATATGAAGGAACGAATCACAACAAATGTTTTTCGAAACTTTAATAATATTGTTTTAAACTGCGTTAGCGATTCATTTCAAAAACATAGATATTAATAGTTGCTTAAATGTTAACGGAAATCATATTGAACATTTATTTTCAAATATCACTGTAGTTATAATTTTGTATTTTTATTTTTATAGACGTATGCAGTTTTATTGCACTTTTCGCTATGAAATTCCATACATTTTATAAAACGTTGCACGTTTCTTCATTGATTATGTCAAGTATCATCAAATTTTGACACTTATTTAATGCATTCCATAGTCACCTTACAAAATGTAACAACTTTTGGATATTTTTAAATAAAATAATTTATAATTTGGAAACGGTTAATTTCACAGCTTAAAGTGTAAATGCAAATTTGTAACTTTGTAAATTGTCTTTCTAATGACGTATTAATATACAGGTACTTCCATTTGAAAAACAGCAAAGTTTTAGCAGCAAAATTTTACTAACATGACGATAATCTGTCAACGTCGCAAGTAAGAAAAAAAACAATTTACGGTGCATATGCAGCGTTTCAAGCTGCATTCCACGAGTTAATAAAAAATTGGTAATTATATTTAAAAAAATACACTTTCACCTTGTCTCGCTTTTCTGAGACACTATGTATCATATAAGATATTTTTAAAATGTGCGTACTTTGTGCATCAAAAACTTTTATATGAAACTATTTTTCGAAAGTTCAACAACAACGAAAATAATGGACTCTCTTGCACTAAAAAACACCCTGTATGTACTTGATGTGACTGCTCACTCACCAAGCGTTTAGCGGTAGATCGGTGGACCCACAAGTCCGAAGGATCTTATTAAGCCAAAATTCTTTACGCTTTACTACTTTCCCACAAATATTAGCATGGCTATAATAACAAAGGAAATGAAACAGACTATTAATTCAAACACGATCCATTTAAACGAGAAAAGGGAATAATCGTGCTTTCCGGCATCGAAATTTACTCAATATGACATACTCATCAATGCGGTAAATTTGTTTGCTAAATACAGTGTGATTCCCAGGTTGATAGTTTGGTGTAGTTTGGATTAGTTGATAGTTTTTAAACTCGATATCGAAGATCGAAGAGTATTGAGCTGCTATGGGACCGTACGATAAAGTACCTATACAAAGATAGATTACCACAAAAAATCGAAAAAAAACCCGATTTTAAATATTAACGATATCAATCTAGCTTGGGAAAGAATCAAGAATTCAGCGAGGGAGGCAATTGCAGGAAGAAACAAAAGTGAACCAAGTAAGCAACCATAAGACACCATGGTTCCGCCCAGAAGTCAAGGAACAGTGCAAATTAAAAAAGAAAAGCCTACCTAAAATATTGTACTATGCGAACGCCAGAATTATATAATGAATCTAAGCAAGTTAGGAATAAAACTAAAGAATTAGTGAGAAAATAAAAAACTATTATGGGAAATGTTCTCCAAGCGCCTGGAAGGAGATTTCTACGAGCATCAAAAGCAGATATGGCGATCCATAAAATCGCACAGAAAGGAGAGCAATAGAACCAACCCACATACAAATCGAAGAGTGGATTCGCTATTTAACTGATCTGTAATAAACGACAAACACGGCACACGAACCTACCACATCAGAAATAACTATTAAAAAGATGCACGATCAATACGTCCGACGTAGAAGACGCACTACAGGAACTAAGAAATAGAAAAACCGCCGGACAAGACGGTATACAAAATGAATTGCTCAAATACGGTGGGCAAAGACTAACAGAAGAATTAACAACTTTAATACAGAAAATTACATATCAACGCAAAATCCCAGATAAATGGCGAACCAGCACTACTGTGCTAATGTTCATGTTCAAAAAAGGAGACAAGAGAATACCATCAAATTATAGAGGAATAAACCTTTTAAGCTCTGCTCTAAAACAAACAACTAAAGTAATTACGAACAAAATCAACAATCTTACATCGTTGGCGGACGAACAACAGCGATTCAGATCGGGAAGGTCTTGCACAGACGTCGTGTTCGTATTAAGACAAATAGTCGAGAAATCGATTTTTATTAAAAGCAACAAGCCAACGTTTATATCTTTTGTTCATCTAACTAGAGCATTTGACCGTGTCCAGCTGAAAGACGTGCTGCATCCCCTTTACAACAGGCAAATCCCACACAATCTCAGTAAAATCATAGAGAACATATATACAAACAATAAGGTACGAGCATAAATAGAAGGACACCTCACAGAACCAATACCAGCGGATAGCGGTATTTTTCAGGGAGACTCCCTGAGCCCTACCATTTTCAATTTAATAATGGAAGAATTTGTTCGAAGTGTTCGAGGGCTAAAGGGATACAAAATGGGGATTGCAGATATCAAAATAGTGTGTTATGCTGACGATGCCGCTCTAATTGCAGAAAGTGAAGATGACTTACAAAAGTCATTACACTTATTTTATCTGACAGCCAAGTCCCTAAATATGGAAATATCACCGACCAAAACAAAGTGCTTAATAACATCGAAACCCCTCTAAGATGCAAACTGGAACTTGACGGTAGAGTGATCGAGCAGAAAATTAAATTTAACTACGTTGGTGTGGAATTTTCCGGCTTTGGGGATATTGATGCAAGGGTGAGAGACCGAAGAACAAAAGCAACTAGAATATCTGGCTGTCTGAATGCCATATGATGGAATAAGAGTATGGGAACCGACACTAGATCTAGGATCTACAAAACCGCCGTGAGGTCGGTGATGACATATACCGCAGAAACCACGCTAGAATCAGCGAAGACTCCTAGAGACAGCTGAGATGAAAATACTCCGTAGAATCACCGGAACGACACTGCTGGATAGAGAGAGAAGCGAGGATATCAGAACAGCCTGTAAGTGAACGATAATTGAACAGGCGATTCGCGTAAAATCAAGATTGAGGAAGAAGAAGATATCGAAAATGTCAAAGCAAGCAACATTTTAAAAATAAAGTTTTTTCAATTAATTTTCGACGCAGCTAATTTTTATTATCTTCATCATCAAAATCAGCCAGCGCTACAACCATAGGTGGGTCTTGGCTGACTGTACAACTTTCCTACGTTTCGGAACGGTCTTCCATCAATCTAAAATATCCTACACGTAGAGTACGTACGTACACGTAGAGTACCTCTTGGACAATATCACCATCCTTCGAAATTTTTTGAATTTTGACATTAGTTCTAATACGATATTGGTCAGTCATCTTATCATGGCGGAGTCCAAACATTTTTCTGCAGATCGTTCGCTCAATGCGTTTGTGTTTTTCTTCATTTGCTTCCCGGAAAAATTTTTCTTAATCGTCTCCCAATAACTTGCGACTTGGGATTTAAACTTCTTATAATAGCCCACAAGCCAAAACCAAAACGGTTTAGGTCAAATAACCTGTATGGACAAGCAACCGATTCAGTTGGGAAATTCAGGTCTTTGGAAAACGATTGTGCAAAAACTGCAAGTAAAATACCCAACATATTTATATATTTCTGAAAAAATGGGCTGGACAGTAGCACGTTAATTAAGCTCGCGAGGAAATAATTTTGTCAAAAAGGTCAAATAACTCCGCCAACCAAACGGTCTGGTAAAACTTGGTAGCCAATAAGAAATTCGTGCACAATTCGTGCTCACACAGTTAAGTATAATCGACGTTATACAGCCAAATATTCGGTCCCATCAATTCGGGTAAATGTTGCTTCGTCTTTAATAGAAAAGTTTGTTTTAAAATGGTCATTATGTTCGTGCTGATGTAAAAATTGTTCATAGAAATTAATTAAGTCTTCTCGTTTTTCGTCTTATCTTCCACGATGTTTCCATAATGATGGCATTCAAGTTCTGAACTTCTTGCCAAAGTTTGCAACATGTGCGATTTTTAAGTTTAAATAATTGTCGGAAGTTAAATATATGCAGTAAACTGGCAAATCGCAATGCAAAGCAAGACCAAAGTAAATTCGAGAAAAAAGTAGCAAAAATGTTTGGACCATTTCTTAGTCATTGATGTAACTGTTTGTTTAAAAGTTTTTTTAAATGGTAATTTGAAAGTATTGTTTGTTTTAATGAGTTTTATGTTCGGCTAAAAAGTGTATTAATTCAGGAATCACACTGCACTTTCTCTGTGGACAATACCGGCGAAAAGGCTTCATATGAACAAGCGTATGTAACTTTGTTTGGTAGCAATGTGTATATCATAAGCAGATATTACATCAAACTGACGATAAAGTATCATATAAAGTGGATCATATCAGTATTTGCATAAAGCATATTACGCTACTAATTGCTGATTATAGATATTTGTAGTTAACTCTTAATTGGAGTTGCTGCGCCAATTTTGATCAGAACGAGTATTTATTAAATTGCCGCAAAATGTAAACACTTATTAGCACTAAAATATCTTATTGACAAATAAGGCATTTAAGTGCGGTTCTCTCCATGACGTAAAGGAAATAATATTTATTTTTCATTTATGTTGTTTCTTATTAACTTTAATGTTTTCAGCAGTAAACATTCCTCAAGTACTTTTTAAAAGTACGTACATTTCAAATTTTTCAATACATTTTGAACAAAAGACTGTTGTGCTCAATGTTGACCTCGCCATACGTTATAAATGTATGTATGTATTTTTGCTTCTGCGAGTTAAAAGTTCACAAAAAACGAAAACGAAATAAAGTAAATATGTAAACAACGTAAAATACTTACAGGTATCCGTGTTTATAGTAACAAAAATGGCTTGTGTAACTAACACAGTTGAAAACACAGTCAAAACACAGGACACACGAGTGGTGGCTTTAATTTTATGTCCTCCGATTGCTGCCAGAAAACTACAAATCACCCCTGGTGTTGTAATAGTTAACGTCGTTAACGATGAAAAGTATCTCTGCATGGTAGTTCTATCATTTGCGTCCTTACTGTCCAGAGTTGTGTTTCGAAATTTATACATCCAGTACTAAAATAATATTTATGTTGGATACAAGTTTACTAATTAAGATTTTAACATCAGAGCGATAAAGAGCTAACTGCTATTATACTGTATATATAAATTAACAATCCTTAATGATTCAAAAAGTTTTAATGTTTATGGATGGTTGTTGATGAGTAGTGAAAGATAAACGGCCCCGAGTCCCCGACGTCTTTTTAATGGGATGGGGGTGCGAAGAATTCCCTGGTGGAATAAAAACAAGAATAAGAAGAAAAGTGCGACCTTCACCCGTCTAGTAACATGGAATATCAGGATTCTGTAAAAAGAGGGAATGATAACTAACAAACGTTGCTCTGAAAATGCACAGAACGGACATAGAGGTCCTAGGTCTCACTGAGGTGAAATGGCCATGCACAGCACAATACAAGCATGACGATGTGGTGATATACTACTCAGGATGTTACGGCGGCGACCACAGGCATGATGTGGGCCTTCTCATAAAAAAGAGCTTCAACAACACGTCACTAACTTCTTGCCGTCCAATAGTAGAATGATGTTGATTCAAATAAACACCAGTCCAATAAATAGAAACCTTATGCAAATAGACGCTCAGATTTGGACAAATTAAAGACAACCATCAAGTGGGCCGAGACAGATTCAGCAATGTTGGGGTGGTTTTGGACTGAGAAATAGAAATGAAAGGGGCGTTAGACTTGTACAGTTCTGCCTTCACCAGCACTTGCAGAAACACCCTCTATCAACTGCTCAATCGGAGGCTTTACACCTGGGCACAATGAAGCCAATCTTACTAGAAATCAAATAGATTTTTATGTTAACAGACGGTTTAGAAACAGTGTAAAACCCTATCCAAATGTGAACGGTGACACTGATCACAATTTACTGTTGGCCAGTGTAAAATTGAGATTAAGAAATCTCAATACAACGACCAATAAGAGCAAAGAAAGTGAACTTGGAAAATCTCAAAGAAGAACCATACCAAACCGATATATCCGAAGCATGAACGACTAATATTGGCACTGCCGGAAAGATTGAGGAACCTGTCATGGGCAGAACAGTCCGAACAGCGAAAAAAACATTGATGAAGCAGGACATAATTAACGTTATGGAAGAAAAGCCAAACAAACACACCAACAAAGGAAGATACAACTAAAAAGACCCATAGATCATGACATAAGAAGGACGAAGGAGAAATGTGTGGAAGAAAATTGCCCTGAAATAGATGCGAAACTAAACAACACACACGATGCCTTTAATATGTATAAATAATTAAAAGATTAAAATGGTCAAAACAAGAACATGGGGAAATATTCAGCTGACGGAGGAAAATTAAAAGGAAACCTGAGAAGAATACGTAACAAGCCCGTTTTCAGCGGAACGAGAGGATCATTTAGATCGAAATGGAAACATACGATTGAGACAGCAAAAAACAACAAAGCTGTTGGACCTGACAACATTTCGATAGAGATGTAGAAAGCATTAGACCACAGAAATTTGAGCGGCCTTGAAGAGTTTTAAAATCGAATATACGAAACAAGGGGCAATCTATAAAAGTGGCTTAAATCGGTCTTTACTCCGCTACCTCAAAAAACAACCCAAAGTCATGCGACAAATATAGAATAATTAACTTGATGGGCCACACTTTAAAAATCGCCCAAAAAATTATTAAATAGAAAAAAAACTGTTCACTTTAAAAGTAATGCGACAGAAGTGTAGAGAGCACAATAAAACTATATTTGACTGTTTCATCGACTTCCAGAAGGCCTTTGATTAAGAACAAACACTACAAACTTACCGAGAACTTAAAAAGTATCAACCTGTATCGGAACGAATAACCAAGAAGTTAAACTTTCACCAAACGGCAGTGATCCGGGTTGAAAATATGGAAACTGGTTAAATCAGAATCCAAAAAGGCGTCGGACAGAGCTACATCCTGTCCCAGCAACTGTTTAATATGTTCTCCCAGTTTATGATTTTGAGGGCGCTGGACTAGAGAGAAAAAGCGGTGAATATTTGAGGGATTTTAACCAATAATCTTAGATTCGCAGACGATACTGCAATAATGGCGGAGGATGCAGAATAATTAATAAACCCTAATTGAGATAAGGGTAACCGATCACGGGAAGAAGTGGTCAGTATAGTAATAAGCGAAAACCCGAATATCCACCCTATTATCGCACTTAATGAAATACAAGTAGAACGGGTGCAAAAATACATCATTAATGTCCTACGGGACCCAGACGAAGAAATCAAGATCAGGATTAAAATGGCTCGAAAGACATTCAGTTTTATGTTCACAAAAAGACCAATTCTTTCATGTTCACAAAAAGAAGTTTGTGCCTGTGAATTAGACTAAGGTTTATGGACTGTTATGTGTGGTCAGTGTTACTGTAAGGGGTGGGAACCTGAATCTTAAAAGTCCAAACTGTTAAAAAGGTGGAATAAGTCGATGGATATCTAGTGGATGCACAGTGGATATACAGTCAGTGTTGATATGCAGGCGCATGCTAAGGATACCCTGGAGGCATAGAGTAACGGACGGAGAAGTACTGAGGCGCATGGGACACGAAAGGAAACTAATTAAGATTATCAAGATCCGTAACACAGCATACATAGGTCATATTCTGCGATACGACAATAATATACTTATCACACTATGAAGGCTTTCACGGCCGGTTAAATCACATTTAGGAATGTTTTCCGGGCTTTGAAGCCGTGGTCTATGGGAATTTCTTCCTGACGTTTCGTCCACAACTGCGGTGGACATTATCAAAGGCGATGAGGCAGTGGGCGAAGTGATCTCCCGTGCTTTCCGACTAAGACTGATTCAACTGCTGGACTCCCCGTCGTATTTATGCAGCCCAGCCGTGTGTGCTCATGTGTGGGGGATGGGTGGGGGTTCCAACGCTTCGGAGCACATGCTGTTTGGGGCAAAACGCGCTTCCAATCTGGATTGAGTGCCGTAATTTCTTCTTTTCTGTTAAAATTGTTTTGGTGTTTAAATATTTCGATGGCCTATCTGGTGACTCTCGGGTAGTATCTTTCAGATTGGTGCAGAATTTCCACTTCGTCAAAGCGTATTTGGTGGCCGTCTAGCAGTGCGTGCTCCGCTACTGCTGATTTTTCTGTTTGCCCCAATCTGCAACTTCGTTTGTGCTCCGTGATCCTAGTGTTTAAGCTTCGTTTTGTGGTGCCGATGTATGCTCTTCCACAGCTGCACGGAACTCTGTAGACTCCTGGTGCTGAT